TATTCTTTGACACAGAATCATTACAGGCATGAAAATAAGATTTTCTGGAAGTAGAGCCTCTGTTAATGGTAGCATAATTAATATTTGCATCCCGGTTACAAAAATTTTGACATTCAAAATTACTCAGAAAATTATTTTTGTCATGCTGCTTAACATCATACATTGCATTCTGAACAGGTAAATTAGAACTAATTGTGTTAGTATTATTAACATTACACTGAACGCTATAAAACGCATTATTGTCATTTTGCACACCCTCGGAAAAGTTAGATTGACTTTGCTCACCTCGGTTGTTTAACTTACGGCACTGTTCCCGTGCATGTCCAAACCGTTTGCAGTAGGAGCACACTGGACGCTGTTTCTTCGTGGTCACGAATTGCTCTGCAGAACCTGGCACAGCAGCGGCAGGCTGGGCGACAGCGACAGGCACAGCGGTGGCGGGCACGACGGCCGCGGCGGAGTTTGGAAAGCGCGCGCGCGGCGCCGGGGCACTCGCACGAGCGGCGCACGGTTCAGGCCGACTCGCAGCCTGGGCCGGCTGGGCACGGATCGAACGCACACCACTAGTGGACGACACTGGTCTCGATTGAGTCTCCTCTATCGAATCTTCTATATTCCGAGCATGGTTTAATAATGAATTGAAAGATGTGATTTCTTCACGGCGCAATCTTGTGCGTATTCTATTATGAAGCAACCCGTATATCATATCAAGTTGTACTTTTTCAGCAATATCATCCCGCGGTAGCTTTGCCATAAGCGCACGAATACGAGCAACAAACTTGTCTGTGTTTTCTTTATCCGCTGCGGGGAAGCAAATATTGCCAAATATATTCTATGTGGTGGAAGGCGGGTGCCATATGCATATATTAAATTTTCTTTGGCTTCGTTCCAAGTGGAGATGTGATGCTTTAATCCTAGCCACCACGTAGCTGCGTCAGCAGACAAAAGCATGGCTAGGCCTCGTATGATGTTAGCGTCAGATACTTGAACGCATTCTGTATAACTTTCAATTGCATCTATAAAGGCCTCAACAGATTCACCAGGTGCACCGCTGAAAGAAGCTCTGCAACGCGCCAAGGTACCATCTACGTTCACTGGGGGCATCGGCGGAGGTGCCGGAGTCGACGATCTTTGTTCCATCACGTACGACATAATGTTCTTAAATGTTTCGGCCTGCGAACGTTGCAGCGAGGCCATCAACGCTGAAACATCATCCAAGTTGAACGTAGAATTGTTGCTACGTGATTCGGCGTGGGGGCGATCATGGGGGCTGTCATGCTCCTCGTGATTTTCGTTGGCATTTGCATCTGCAGCAGGAATAACGTCGTCTTCGCGACGTTGCTGGCGATCTTGATTTCTAGTTAAAGGCATTCTTTACAATTAAGCACCAACAGCATACAATAGTTAGCAAATTTTTCACAAAAGCGTGCGCGCCATTTTGTTAGTCCAAGCAAGAAAAAAATTAGGAAACGTTGGGCAGCCAGATATAGTGAGGGGTAGATCTCAGGGGTATTTAAAACTATGGGTTAGTCACCAATATCGAATTTCGAATTTTAATCTTCCTTTATCACAAACAATTTTAATTTTAAACAATAATTACATTTAGACGCGGGCGCACGCTATTCACACTCAAAACGGAAGCGCCCGGAACATAGATTATACACTGTTGAAAAGATTGACATAGATGCTAACTATGTATAGAGCGAGGGCATACGGCCGCGAGAGTGACGTACCGGTCGGTTTGCTAAACGCCATGATAATTTGGAGTCCCTAAAACAATCCGTACGATTGGCAGTGAAAAATTTTCCCATGGAAAGAGTGCGTGCTTCTATTGATAACTGGCCTCAACGTTTAAAGGACTGTATTGCAGCCAATGGAGACCACTTCGAATAAGCTTTTTATACTTTAAATTGTTTTATATTTATGTATTAAGCTAACACACTGTAAAAGTAATAAATGTTATTTGCAATAGATTTTTTTTCCTTTGTAACAGTATTTATGGCCAGACTAGGTATATTGCGTCACCATCGCCTACGGAAATCAAAGTCTAAGCTCAATTCAAAAAGGAATTATCATAATGCTTAGCAATCATTGCAGAGGGAATATTTATCCAGAACAGTAGGATGTGACCAAAATGATGAATGATGAAGTATATATGTAGTCTATAAATAGGATTTTATTTAAAAAAAAATTATTTGCGTCTATATTAACTTAATTATTATTATCAAGAAGTATCTTGATTGATATTATATATTATATTAGAAGGCTTTTTTTATTCAGAATCAATTGTATTGTTAAATAAGAAACATAAGGTTTTTTATCTAATAAAATGATTTTTTTTTGATATTTAATATAATTTTTTGATAGACAATGATCAGCATTATTATTTCATTGCTCACATATATAGATGTTCGATACGTTAGATGCTTTATATGTTTGAGAAAAACTGAATAAATTATTACCATTCATTACCATTCAACATTAGTATTAAAGGTAATTATTCAATTTTCATCTGAGTTAAAGACAATCTGAGGTGATGGTTTGCTTATTAGATATAAAATAATTAATAATTGGGATTGTTTCTATGATCGAACAATCACCAATAGTCGTCGAACAAACGATAATTGATCAAAATTAATTAATCTGAGCGATAAAAATAAAGATATCTAGTAAGGGAGGGCAACTTAAGGGTGATCATTTGTTTAATTCATCTATAAATCTAATATATAAAATTCTCGTGTCACAATGTTCGTTCCCATACTCCTCCGAAACCGCTTGACCGATTCTCATGAAATTTTTTATGCATATTCAGTAAGCCTGAGAATCGGCTACTATCTATTTTTCATACCCCTAAGTGATTAGGGTTGTCCACCCCTAACATATTTTTTTTATTTGGACATTTTTTTTTGTTATAATGAGGTATTATGTGGTTGAATGAGGTTTTGTTATTTTTATTATATATTCCCTCATCGTTCACAGCACTACATACCTCTTTCACTCATTTACCACATCCTTACACACTTACAATAAGTTAGTTTTTTTTTCTACACTAGAAATTCCCTAGAAATCTTATACACGGCAAAACAATGTTTGCCGGGTCAGCTAGTAAACTATAAATTTAGGTAAAATTCCAGTATTGGGATTTTTTTCCGGTGCCCAGGATCGGCATTATGTTTAAATCCGGCTCTGGATATGTGTAAGAGGGGAGTGATCGAAGAAATGGTTTATGATAGAGGAGTATGGAAGGAGAAATCATGTTGCGCCGACCTTAGGTGACTGAGAGAAGGGCAGGAGAATGAAATGATGATGATAATGAAATTCCTACAGATCCCGAAAGCCACATTCTGTTCTTCGATATCGAGGGTCTGATCGTGGAGTTGCTGAGCGAGGAGTACTCCGCGATGAGCCCGGCCAGTTTGGAGGTGAGAGAATCCGGAGAGTAAATAATGGAATGTTTGTTGAGCGAATTGTTATACTGGTGGTAGGACCTCTTGTGAGTCCGCACGGGTAGGTACCACCACCCAGCCTATTTCTGAAATGAAGCAGCAATGCTTTTCGGTTTGAAGGGTGGGGCAGCCGTTGTAATTATACTGAGACTTTAGAATTCATATCTCAAGGTGGGTGGCGCATTTACATTGTAGATGTCTATGGGCTCTGGTAACCACTTAACATCAGGTGGGCCGTAAGCTCGTCTACCCACCTATGCAATAAAAAATAAAATAAAAAGTACAAAAGTGCCACTAGCATTTGTACCGAAATTCAAGTCGAATGGTTAGATACCTGAAATTCTGACGAGGGGAGCTCATGTCTCGACGTGGATGACGGCATTTACGTTGTAGATGTCTATGGGCTCCGGTATCCACTTAACACCAGGTGGGCCGTGAAACCAAAAAAAAAGAATACATCCACCTCATCCTCCCGCAGGCCGCCGGTCTGATATCCAGTGAGTACATGAAGGCAGCGGCCTTGACCCAGTCTGCGAGTCCTGACGCCACCAAACGCATTTCTGGTGAGTTAAGTCTATATCAGGCCCTATAAGTAAGATCTGTTTCAGATACGAATTGACTAGACTAGAAATCACAGCGAAAATTCCGATTATCAGCGAAAGTTCCGATAATCGGAAACGAAAAAAAAAAAAATACATGTGTGCAATTCACACGTGGTAGAAGTGAAACCTTCAAAAATTTTAATACATGTATCCTAAATGTCTAAGTATATTTAAAATTTTGTCATAAGTTAATATGTAATTGTAAATCATTTTTTATAGTATGAGGTAGCACCCTCTGTGAATTGATATTTTAACTTCACGTATAATCTTAAATTAAAATTTACTACAAGAGGTTTCGTACACACGTTAGTATTAAAAAATCTCATAGATGGCGCTGTATTAAACTGTCTCTATGGACTTATTTTTTCGTTTCATCGAGTTTGAAGAAGTTTCACTTGAAAAATGCATTAGAGAAGCCAGCTTAAGCTAAATATACACAGTGTAATGATTGACGAACAGTGTTATTTGAAAGAATAGTCATTCAAAACATCTACCCTAAGCCGGAACGTTCTTCGAAATAAGCAACGTGCGAGGTCAACGACCTCAGAGGAACGCGGGGGACGTCATTAGAACTAGATATGTGTCGTTCGCGAACGAACGAGTCAAACGACCCGGGTCTCAAATTCCGCGCGAACGATAGGGTCACTTCAAAAAATATGAGTCGTTCACTAAATCGACTCGTTTAACACAAAACCTACGAATCAGAAGAAAAGAACCATACGAGCACGACGGTCATTCGGGTAATTTCGGGTTGCCGCGTCTCGCCTCGCGCCCGTCTCGCTTAGTCGTTCGTTCGACTGAACGGGTCGTACGAACCGGATCATTTTGTCAACAGGTCAGTACTGATCTGAATCTCTAAAATTGAACGAACGACACATATCTAATTAGAACTATCATCGCGTTGCAATGCGGTCTTGCTAATGTTGTTTTTCCATTGCGTTATTGATCTAGTTAATGTGGCTTATGTGCAAACACATAAAGTTGAATATCGGACCTTCGTGTTGACTGTAGGAACGTCAGTTACGTTCTCAGAGTGTTCACTAACCGATGTTTAACTTGTACACGCCGACTATGGATAGACTTCTTCGGTCGAGTGAAAGACAAGGCCGGCGATATGGAACGTATATTGAAAGAGAAGGACAAACACGGTCTGTATCCAGTATTGCTATTTCAACATATTTAGCTTCAGTTGTTTTTTTTTTCTGTTGTCTATAGTAATTAAGTGTCAAATTTCGTTTTTTTTTCCGCTGTAATGTCCTTAATCTAGTGTTTATTAAGCGATCATTATTATTTTGTTATCCAATTATTTCAGGCAATTCTCTAGGATCTTTCTGGGTCTAGATAATGTTTGATAGGTAGTGATGCTATTTCAAAATATTTAGCTTCTGTTCTTTTCTTTTTTTTCTGTTTGTCTATAACAATTAAGTGTCAATTTTGTTTTTTTTTTCGCTGTAACATCCTTAATCTAGTGTTTATTAAGCGATCATTATTATTTTGTTATCAAATTATTTCAGGCGTTTCTCTAGGATATTTCTGGGTCTAGGCAATGTTTGATAGGCAGTCTTGCTATTTCAAAATATTAAGATTTTTTTTTTCTTTTTTTCTGTTTGCCTATAATAATTAAGTATCAATTTTGGTTATTTTTTCGCTGTAACGTCCTTAATCTAGTGTTTATTAAGCGATCATTATGATTTTGTTATCAAATTATTTCAGGCAATTCTTTAGGAACTTTCTGGGTCTAGGCATTGTTTTTTTGAGAACTTGAACTTTTTTTTAACTAAGACGCCAATACCTAGGAGCTCTTTAGGATTTTACTGTCCTTCTTTAATTTCCATTCAACATTGTGTCTGATTGCGAAAGAGTTTAATTTTACTAGTTACACTTAGCCATGCAATCAGAAGTATTTTAAGTAATTTATTTGTTCCTTCTTCTCCAATCGAACACACCCTTACCTGTCTATATATTGGTATCAATTTAAGCGATATAGTATTTGTGTGTCTCTATAGTTTTGGAGCCACCTAGTTATAATTAGTGATTTCTCATCAAACTAATGCCGTATTTCCACTATCTATCGCTCACTTTGTAGCCATGCAGTCGGAAGTATCTTAAGTGCTGTATTCGTTCCCTTTTCTCCAATCCAACACACCGTTACCTGCCTACAATCAAACTGCCCAGTAGTCGTTATTCCGACTCTCCGGACTTTATACGTATTAATGAAGTCGATCTATCGACGGTTCGCACTCGAAGGGTTAACTTTCATGGCTTAAATCGAGAAATGCTTTCTTCATTTTTATTTGACTTTAGTCCGCAATTAAAGTCGGAATGTATTTGGGCTAAAAAGCCCTTCAACAAGTTCTTGTTTTCTTCTTTATATATAGTTTGTTTGAACCTTTATAATCATTGTTGGCGTTTTCGCGAAGGCTTCTACAGCACCATCGATGTGTGGTCAGTCGTTGTAACAATTGTCGAAGCGTGACAATATTTTCGTTGGGTCTAACACATTCGTTTCCCGCGGCAGGTATCTTGGCCAAGATGAAGGAGGGCGCGGAAACCGTTCAGACCAAGCTACAGGCGAAAGCGGAACAGCTGAAAAACCACCTCGATAATAAAGGTAAGTGAATTATGTGGAATACCAGCTTTAGGATGTGCCAAGAATTCTTTGGTCCGGGAATTGGCGGAATAAATTTGCGGTTTTTAGGTATTTTCCTTGTGTCCACGATCCTCTCAATGCTGAGGATCGTGGCCTCTCTGAATGTCTTTCTCCTGGACAGTCTTGTGGATAGTCTATTCCTGGCTGCGTCGTGGATTGAGGCGTAGAGTCTGGTAAGACCGGCACAATGTACTTTAGTTTCTGGTACAATTACTGTATATTGTGACGGAGTTTGGTATTTTCAGTGAATATTACTACTACATACTGTTACATATTGGTATCCGTAATGGAGATGGTTTAATTGAGAAAAAAAAACAAAGATTGTGATGATGTAAAATAATAATAATTGGGATCAAATTACGCACGGTCGGACCCCGATTTAGGATTCCATGTGTTTCGGGTACCAGAGTTTAACAAACATATTATTTATACTAATATTACAAAGCTGAAGAGTTTGTTTGTTTGAACGCGCTAATCTCAGGAACTACTGGTCCGATTTGAAAAATTCTTTCAGTGTTAGATAGCCCATTTATTGAGGAAGGCTATAGGCTATATAACATCACACTAAGACCAATACAAGCGGAGCACCATTATTGGTCGTTTGAAAAATTAAAAAAGAATTTTTCAAAATCGGGGTTTTTTTTTCTCTTTTGAGAGCTTCTGCTGCGTGCGCTGCGGAAACGGTTAAAGTTTCGCTAAAATAATGTATGACACAATTGTTCCCCTTTAAAAGATCTAAAAAAAAGTCCGCGACAGCATATGTCTATATGTTAGGGTTGGCTCACTATAACGTTTTTTATGCTAACCAAATTTGTTCTAAAATAAAGAATTTTTTGTGAACTATTCCACGCGGACGAAGTCGCGGGAAAAAGCTAGGGTACTTATATACGTTTTAAATACATAGGTAAATAAATAAAGAATCGGAAATTGTTTATGGGTACAAAATTCAAATTAAACGACTAGATACTCAATGGACTCTTTGGATTAACTCGAAGAGCGACATTCAAAGATCGAGTTTTGTTTTACCCACACTTCTTCGCTTTTGTAAATAAATGTTGAATAGTGGATACGCCACTATTATTGCGCGTTTAAATCTAAAGATATATCTAAATTCTTATAATGAAACAGTTTCTCTTTATTTTTTATCTCTAGTACGGTTAAATCGGGCGTTGCTAGCGCTCTTTTTTTTCTCCTACATATGCTGATATCCTTGAGAGGATCTTTCAGCTACTCTTTGACCTGTTGGTGAGCTAACGGGCCTCAAACCGGGTATGTTGCTAACACTGGCCCTAACAAGAGCAGTGCTTCGCAGAATCTACTGCCGGATAGGAAACACGATCCACTGAGAAGATCCGGCGAGAAACTTAGTTGGCTGTGTCGGTGGGTTAATTTACTCGTCGAGCCCTTCGTCGTAAGTGACGGCCACAAAAAAATAAAAAGTACCTACTGTCATTTAATTTTTTAAATACTACACCATCTGATTAACCTTTTCTGAAACTTCATCTGATTAGCTTCTAGAAACAACCACTCGGTCTCTGACAGGAAATACAGATAAGTTATTTGAAACATTGTAAACAATTTATTTAATTGACAATGTGTTTTTATAAGTTCGTTTGCATACAAGTCGTCAAGGTGATCTACATTCATTTAATATTTTCGTTAAGCATTGCGCTGTACATAGGGGAGGGTATAACGTCGCGCGTGTTGGTGGATTTGAACACTCGGAAACTATTTTATTCTAAAGGTTTTTTTTATTGTGTGCGGTCGTAACGTGATTTATGGTTTGGTTGTTTAATAATAAAATAAAAAAAAATTAATTAATTTAAAACCTTTCACACAGATTTATATCATTACAGGTAGATAAAAAAAGAATAATGAAAAAAAGGTAAAGGGGGTGACTCAGCTAATGCTGTTCAAAGTGGATAGTTTTTATTGCTTCTTTAGGCCTCGTGGCCTAAAGGATAAGACGTCCGGTCTAGTCGTATCTAGCGATGCGACGGTGTTCGAATCCCGCAGGCGGGTACCAATTTTTCTAATGGAATACGTACTTAACAAATGTTCACGATTGACTTCCACGGTGAAGGAATAACATCTAGTAATAAAAATCGAACCCGCAAAAATATAATTTGCGTAATTACTGGTGGTAGGACGTCGTGAGTCTGCATGGGTAGGTACCACCACCCTGCCTATTTCAGCCGTGAAGCAGTAATGCGTTTCGGTTTAAAAGGCGAGGCAGCCGTTGTAACTATACTGAGATCTTAGAACTCATATCTCAAGATTGGTGGAGCATTTACGTTGTAGATGTCTATGGGCTCCAGCAACCACTTAACACCAGGTGGGCTGTGAGCTCGTCCACCCATCTAAGCAATAAAAAAACCCACACACGCTAATAAGTGGCAACACAGCTAGTTGCAGTTGTATAAAAAACAAAAATTGGTCGAACGATCACGTATTGTGTACATCAAGAAATAAAAATCCTTCGCCCTGAATTTAGTTTTTATTGAAGCTAGCACACAAAAATATAGTCCACCCCACTTCGATAAAGCGGCACGACACGAGAACCCTCTCATCGTGGCCGCCGGTAACTACATTCCCGATCCTGCGGAAAGAATGGAAAGCAGTCGACGTCGCCCAAAACACGTCATCGTGGATCCTCCCGATCTACTAACGGTGCTTCTAGGTACTTCAAGCACCGGTCACCGTTCCCGTCGAACCCGTCGCTTGCGACGAAGGGCTCTACGAGTAAATTAACTCTTAGACACAGCCCACTGAGTTTCTCGCCGGATCTTCTCAGTGGGTCGCGTTTCCGATCCGGTGGTAGATTCTGCGAAGCACGGCTCTTGCTAGGGTTCGTGTTAGCAACGTCATCAGGTTTGAGCCTCGTGAGCTCACCTACTAGTTACGGTTACGCTGGAATAGCCTTTCTAGGCTCCAGCTTAGGTAGGAAAAAAAACAGTCCACAGACATGCTGCGCGGCTTTTCTGTTCGTGTGTACACGCGATCCCAAAGCCTACGCCCTCGTCAAGGCGGACCAGATATCAAGCGAACTATGTTTAAATACAGTAATAAGTTCATATTGTAATTACCTCTTAAAGGTCGTTTCGCTATGGAATTTGTACTTTTTATTCGGTCTTCATGTTGTAGACTTAATTGTTTTTCGATAAGGCATTTTTTACTGGTGGTAGGACCTCTTGTGAGTCCGCGCGGGTAGGTACCACCGCCCCGCCTATTTCTGCCGTGAAGCAGTAATGCGTTTCGGTTTGAAGGGTGGGGCAGCCGTTGTAACTATACTGAGATCTTAGAACTGATATCTCAAGGTGGGTGGCGCATTTACGTTGTAGATGTCTATGGGTTCCAGTAACCACTTAACACCAGGTGGGCTGTGAGCTCGTACACACAACTAGGCAATAAAAAATAAAATAAAAAAGACGAGTATACGGCCCACTTGACGGTGAGTGGTTACCGTCGTTCGTGGACATCAGCAATGCCAGGGGCCGAGCCAAACCGCTGTCTACCTGGGGTTGGTCAGTGGAGCCCATAGATATCTTCTTTTTTCTTCACCGTATCCTACTAGGTGGGGTCGGTACCGCTAATTTTTCTCTTCCATTCTCTGCTATGAGGCGTCAGCTTAACATTCACTCCTCTTTCTCTCTCATATCGTCATTCACACACTCCATCCATGTCTTCTTCGGTCGACCTCTTCCCCCCTCTATACTACCATTCCCATACATCTCCTAGTCACATGCATCTTCTCTCTACGCATCCATGTCCATACCACGCTAACCGTCCGTTCTTTAATTTGTCAATCACCGGGGCTTCTGATATAATCATTCCTTATCTTGTACATTCTTGTCATTCCACACATCGCATTTCTGCCGCATGCACTCCTCTTTCATGCTTTACTTTCGTCGCCCAACATTCAGACATAGCCAGAAACAGAGCCCATAGACATCAACAGGGTAAATGTTGTCGACCACCTTAAGACATGAATTCAGTTAAGTAAGCCTTTTTTCGGGCATAGGACCGAACCTCCACCGACTGCCCGCGTGAGTATCAAGGACTTGAAGGTATGCAGATGTTGGCGGCAGACCGCGGGCTCAAGGTGCTTTTAGTTATATTATGTGTACTGTTTGCACATACATTTTTAGGCAGCGGCTTGGCTCTGCCCCTGGCATTGCTGAAGTCCATGGGCGACGGTAACCACTCACCATCAGGTGGGCCGTATGCCCGTCTGCCTAAAAAGGCAATAAAAAATAAATAAAAAAAACGTACATATAAATCATGTCGTGGAAGCAGAAAATGTCTCAACGAACATGGTATTCCTGCGAATGTTCATATTCCGTGTGCGAGTGCATACAGGCTGTTGGAGTTTGTATATTAAATGTAATGGCAGGCAACACTTGACACTTGATTAGATTTCGAATATTGGAATTAATTTAAATGTTTTAAAAAAACAGACCATTGTATTCTCGTAAGGAAATGTCAATACTTCTCATCTAGACACGGCATGAAAAACATGTAATAGTTTTATAAAAAAAATATAAAGATAATAATTGTATAATGGTGTAAAAGTGTTCAAGNTGAAGTCATCGTGGCCCAAATGATAAGACGCCCGGTGAATTCGAACTGAGCAATGCGACTGTGTCGATGTTCGAATCCCGCGAACAAGTATCGTTTTTTTTATTCATTTTTCTATTTGCCTGCCTATTGCCAGTGACTATTCTGCCTAATTTATTTTAACTAAATATGTACTTAAGGTTCACGAATGATTTCCACGATGAAATAATAATATAGTTGGATTACAATCCAACCGCCGAAATATTTTAATTAGTGTAATTATTCGTAATAAGACGTCTTGTGAGCCCGCCCGGGAAGGTATCACTACATTTTATACTAAGTTTCTCGCCGGATCTTCTCAGTGGGTCGCGTTTCGGATCCGGTGGTAGATTCTGCGAAGCACG